AAAACATTTAGTATGCATTTGAAAAATTCGAGGCTTGGGAAATCTAATAAGTAAAAGACTGTTAAATTCTAGTGAGGACAGGCTAAATTACAAGTCTGCTAAGTTAGGCGTGTCAAGCGGCAACCTGGCAAATTTTGCAACTTTTAAGGAGCGCAACCTGGCGGGGAATTCACTTTTCGGGTTTTTTTTTCGTCTTTTTTTTATACTAGCTTAGACTTCTTTAGCGAAATTTTAAAAAAATCTGAGATATGAAGGGAAAAAACGTAGGACTTGGCATGAAATTGCCCATATATACATAGACCTTGTACTATACTTGTCACCGCACTTATGTCTCCCGAGTACGTGTAGCGCTGTCGATTGATTCAAAGTGAATTTGCTCTCAAAACGAAAGTTTTCTCTTGACTTACTTTTTTCGAAGAAGCAGACGTTACAGTTTGCAGCACAGAATTAAGCGTGATGAATCGTCCGTAGTTTTTCTACTGGCTTTAACAAACAGTCCTTACCGAGTTCAGCAATCATATTTTACGTTTTACGTCTGGAGAAAGTGGCACATTTTTTGCAACAACCTCCTCGAGAACCTAAGTTTTTTATGCTTTGTACTGTTCACTCCGAGACACAAGTACATTTTATTTTTTTTACCGCAACGTTTTTTTAACTGTTGCTTTGATAATATAGACAAGAAAAAGCCTTTTTAAAACGGCTGGAGTTTTGACATTTCATTTTCTGTTGTAGCAGGAGAGTTTATCTAAGTTAATTCTTCGGTAATGCTAAAAATTCTTTCTTTGATAATATAGACAAGAAAAAGCCTTTTTAAAACGGTTGGAGTTATTTTATGTTGTAGCAGCAAAGTTTATTTAAGTTAATTCTTCGGTAATGCTAAAAATTCTTCCAGCGCCGTTGCAGTGAAGCATGCTTGTATGTACCTCGAACGTGTCTTTGTACAGTAAACTTACCTTTACTTTTTTGTATTTGAAGTGCTCGACTCATTTGAAGTACTCGTGTTAATTCGTTTGTTGTGGCTTCAAACATGTTATGCACTTCTTGTTAAATTGCTGACTGTCTAGTGCCACAGCGTCCTTCTAATCCTTATGACGTTTCGTACTAAACAGTCGCATGCTGTGAAGGGTAGTGGGTATATTTTGTAACAGGAATTCTAGGAAATTTGGAGGTTTACATTCGCTCCCCGTGCAGCCTTGCTCCTCAGAGTTTTAATTTTCCTTGACTGTATTCCGATCTGTCCAGAAAAACCTACGTGTTTATAGCGTTTAAGCTGTGTACGTAGAAATTATTGATTTACTGTATGGAACGACTGAATAATTTCTTGGCGAGAAATTCTGATACTCAAACTTTATATATATATATATATATATATATATATATATATATGAAGCTAAAAAAATTGATTGATCTATTCATGATTTTATGCTGTCTTTTCATTTGACTTTGGTAGTGGTCTGTAGTGTCTATCTTAGCCGCTAAAAATCGGGCTGCGATACTGCTTTATAGGAGGAACTCAGCAGAGGGATTTAGAATGGACGAGGAACTGCCTTGAGTTTTCTACTCCGTTATAAACTCTCTACGTGTTCCTCACAGTGTTTGCGCTTGGCATGGTCAGTTTTTGAATTACTGGTAATGAGTCATAGCAGGAGCGGTTTCGAGCTGTAAAGGCAACAGTTTCGTCAAAATTGTTCTCAGAAGTACTGTGAATCCATGACCGTTAGGGAGTAGCGACGGTATTTTCTTTAAGAAAATAGAGAAACCCAACAATTTCCAGGACTACAATTAATTCATTCGTAGGATTCCGATGGTCTAATACTCATTTGATGTAGGTACTTCTACAAGAAAACTCTAACCAACAGAATTATTCGGGACAGATTTGGCTTCCTTGATAATTAGTTTCAAACAAAGTATTTTAACGATGAAAGATACCAAAGTGTGTTGTAATGGAAGCCGTAATCTTCCAAGTAAGTAAGTTTTTACGTATTTTTCCTGGGAGACAGAGCATATGCCTTCCATGACGAGATATGCCTTCCATGATATGCCTTCTGCAGATGCACCCAAGTCCGCAGCTACTGTTGCATTGATTTTTTGGCATCATACCTTCAAATATCTCAAAATACCGTTTATTGGTCAAAACAGAGTTTGACTAGAAATTCAAAAGCAAATGCACGATCATGAACGAGGATGAAAAAAATTAGTTCCTAATTCCTTAGTACATCGAGGATGCTTGCTTATTGAACTTCTTCGCTTGGGATCATCAAGTGACCCGAATCAAAAAGCATTTTGGATGATGGCAACAAACTGTTGTGGGAACCACATTATACCAAAATTTTTGGATCATTTCATTAGGAAAAGTGACGTTATAGGCACTGCTACAGCAGCAGAACCACTTCCAGGACGGCAAGGAATAGGTTTCATCAGAAATGAACCTAAATCCACTCAAGTAATTAATCATTGCTAATTAAAGCAAACGAGGACAGTGAAGCAATATTTTGATACTACGTCGCTGGAAAGTTAGCAAAAAGCACATAGACAAGTAGACAAGTTTAAAACAACTGTAGATGAACTAAGCGGGGTTAAAACTTTAAATTAAAAAAGAAAGTAGGCCGATTGCAAGAAGAATGCTTTTTTTTTTCTCAATAATGCATTTTTTTCTGGCCAGTGTGCACTTTCGTCTTTCGGTTTCGCTATTCCTTCGAATCTCTTCTTAAAAAGTGATTACAATAATCGGTCAATTCTTTTTTAATTTTTTTTATATGAATTATTAATTTTTTGAATTTTCTTTCTAGGTAAAAAGATGATAATTCTTGAACAGAACAACCGTATTATTAGTGATCTCTTGGAGGGGAAAATTGCACAAGTTAAGCACGGGTAAGCTGGTTACTTTTACTTCTTTGGTGTCTTAGTTCTCTGTGGTCTCGACTGTCTTCCTTCTTCTTTGTTGTAGTTAACGTCGAATTTAAATTATAAGCAAATTTTATAAACATAAAAAATTTTTACTTCGGGATTGGCAGATTACAGATAAGCTTCTTTACAGTAGTAGACCCGACAGCGTCGATGTTCGCATTGCCGATTTTGACGGCGTAGTTTATTCTATCACAAATCCTGGTGGGGATCGCACAAAGATTATGGTAAGTGTTTCAGTTTCTAGAGGAATTATTATTTGGAACCTTTCACTTTTGGAGATAATTAGAGAAGTTCTAACCAGCTTATTTTTTAGGCGGCTTGTCACAAATTTATAAATTTCCGTTTATTTGCCAGTAATTAACAGTACGAGTTTCAGATAAGTATCTCATTGAAGTTCTATAAGGATCTGAAGGAACATGGTGCAGATGATGTGAGTTTCACTTAATTTAGATTACTTTATGATGTTTTCAGAATCACTTCTAAATCTTTTATTTTATACAGTTTTATTTCTAACATATTTTCAAATGATTATTTCATAGTTGCTGCGCCGTCAGTATGCAGCTTATCTGACTACACCTGAACAAGGATTCGATGCATCGCTGTTGTATGATCTTACAAAAATGCCTGACGACCACGCTGCTATTGTCTACGAAGCGTCACTACTGAAAAGAAATTGCTTTGCATCAGTTTTTGAGAAGTATTTTGATTTTCAAGCCAAGGGTCAGCAGGGACAAAAACGTGCTGTCATTCATTACCGGGATGATGAGACACTGTTTGTTGCTTCTGTCCATTTATTTATTGAATTGTTCATATTTTTCATAAGAGAAAAATTTTTTTACATTTTTTCGATAGCGTTTCATACCAGCTCTGCTGTAAGTTCGACCGATTTTTAGGTACATTGAAGCAAAATCTGATCGCGTTACGATTGTTTTTAGTACCATCTTTCGCGATCCCGACGATATAATAATTGGAAAAATATTCTTACAGGTAAGAAGACATTCATGCTGCGTTTCCAGAATGTCATATTCTTTTTCTCCATTTTTTTCATTCAGGAATTTCGCGAAGGGCGTAAAGCTTCACAAACTGCCCCGCAGGTGTTATACTCTGTTGGAGAGCCTCCTTCAGAATTGCGTGATCAACCAGATGCAAGGACCGGTGAAAACGTGGGTTACATTACTTTCGGTAAGTCTTTTTATAATCGTCATTTAGATTTTGCTCATGGTACTCATCTAATTACTGGTCACTTACATGTTTCTTGGGATTTACTTTGCCTTTCAGTGTTATTCCCTCGTCACACAAATAAGAATGCCCGCGATAATACAATTAATTTGATCCACACGTTTCGCGACTATCTTCACTATCACATTAAGTGCTCAAAGGTGTGGGTTTATTATTTCCTTTTTTGTGTTCTTAGATTCTGTTTGACCAGCTTTTGTGAACTGTATACTTTTTGTTCCTTTACCTCCAATATTTTCATGCCTTAGGCTTATCTACATTCGAGAATGAGAGCGAAGACACAAGATTTCTTAAAAGTGCTGAATCGTGCAAAACCTGAAACTCGTTTGGAGAAGAAGTTATTTGCGTAAGTTTTTTTACTGTTTTAGCAATTTTTTCTTATTTTGCTTGAATTATTTTATGATTGTTTGTTAATTTTTTATTTCAGGAACCGTGTTGTGAAATAATACGGAGTAAAAAGAGACCGTTAGAGTTTCCGTTTTTTCATCCTTTTCCTTTCGTTTACAGTTGTTAATGTTATCTGTAACTGAATGCTTTATTATTGTTTTGTTTGCATTCACTTAAAGATTTTACTTTCCAAACAATATTTTTTTCATCATGTTGTTTAAGCTTAACCTCGTATTGGACGTCTTCTGTGCCAATAAGTTGACTCGTTTCTCAACTTCAACTGATCATCTATTTTTTAGTTATGTATTAGGAATGTGTCCGACTCATTATGTTCTTAAAACATGTTTTGGAGTTTGACGGGGTCATTCCTTTACATCTTGTTTTAGAAGTCTTCATCCTAATAATGCTGATGCTTTGACATTAAGTTGGGTAGGTTTTTAACTTGTGAGTCATACATCATTGCCCTTTGTAATTAAGTTTTATTTTGCTTTTTTTTCGTCGCTGTTCGCTTAGTGTAATTTTATTCGTGATTCTACTGCTGTTTGGTGATAGTGCTAGCCGTGATTGTGAACTGATTTCTGCAGTTGGAAGTTTAATTTATTTTAAAAGGTGTTGTTGAGATTGGCTGGTGAAAGGTTGATTGAATATTCTCATTTTCGTCTGTACTTTAGAGAAGTAGGTTTTTTTAAAAAGTTCCTGACCTGTTCCTGTAACGTTTTTATTTTTCAATCTTAACAGTTATATGAAAACCGTTTTTGATTTTTTTTTTCTTTGACTACGGGGACGACTGTTTTATGCAATGTTAGTGAATTGAATAAGTTTTCGTGCTCATTGTTACAGTTCTATTATAAATTGTAACTTTTCTAAATTAACCTGCCTGTACCGCTAGTTGCAAGAAGTGGAGGAGACTGAAAGGTGGGTAGTTAAAGCTGCTGATTTTTTGGAATGCTCTGTTAGAACTATATGATAACAATTTTTGGCAGGTTTTGGTTTATTATAGCATGAAGTGCCTGGATGTATTTGCAGAACTGTTTTGTCTAAGTTGTTTCAAGGATTTAATAAAACTTTTTCAAGCTCTAACTTGCCTCTTTGCCGGTGCCGAAAATAAATTTTTGAACATGCCGACTTGTGCGGTAAGTAGAGGACTAAGTTCTTGTTGTAGACCAGGGGTAGCCTGTGCCTCAGTTTTTGGGAGTTTTACAAGACTCCTGTTGTAGCCATCAGTGGGATAGGCTGGAGAAAGCACTGGAAGTAGCGCCATTTTTGGCCAAGTGCTCTAGTGGGTCTCGCAGAAAAGTCAGGAGTTTAAACAAGTTCCGTTTTTTCTTGGCGGTCCGTTTAACTGTCTAACCAGGTGAATTTTGAAATACAGTGCACACATCTTTTAACAGCATTTCGTTCATTTTAGAGTTGCCTGCGAGACCTTTGTTGTAAACAATGCAGTCTTGGAGGCTCCCTGGTGTGACTTTGACAGCGCTCCTTGGACTAAGCATTCAGTGTTATAGCGTCACTTCCGAGATTTAGGGACTGCATTGCAAAGTAGAATGAGAAACTGATTCAAGTAGAAAAGTTCCCGGGAAGAATTCTGGCGCGGGAAAAACAATAGGAAATTGTTTGGGAGAATTAAAAAAAGTTCTAGCGTTCAAATTAGACGTATAGCGCAATGGGGTTACTGCCGAGTATTTTAGGCAAATTGGTACTGTTCATAACATAAACATTTAAGTAATCTTTATGCAGTAAGACCAACTGTACGATTTCTTTATCTCCCTGGATGATAACAGCTGCAGTAGTATCTTGTCTTAACGCATTTGTAATTTGCAACTTTTTGTTTATGACCGATGAGACCTTAAAGTCTTATTCAGCTACCTTTGTTGCAGTAGCGTTAGTATAAGAGGAAGAGCTATAGTAAAATATTAATGTTCTTCTAAGTATCTAGCAGTTGTTCAATCATTATTATGAAGATATTGATGATTATCCGTTCTATCTCCTTAGTTCTTCCTTTCTTCCTTCACTTTCGTACATTTGTCAATAAGAAACTCAGTTGTTCTCTTTGTGAAACATCTATTTGTATGCTTTATTTCTGGCATTTCTGATGCAATATTGTCGTGTGCTTTAAGGGAACAGTGGTATTGTGTTATTATCACTGAGTAGTATGAAACCTCCTTAGAACATCTCAGGTTTGACTCATACAAAATGTCTGATACTGTCAGCATCAAATTAGGCACCTATAAAGTAGTAATGCTGAATACAGGTTGCTTGATTCAAAGAAGGAGCAGGGTTTGCAAAATTGAATTCCTGTCCAGGAAAGGCGCTTATCTTTTGAAGTGGTAGCCAAAGCCTGCTGTACTTGGGGTTTGTAGAGGATATAAACCGAAACAGTTTTAAGTGTTTTGTGATCGCATTGGCTAATGTTGTTGATGCATGCATTAAGCAGGTATATGTACCGTTGGTCAAAAAATGCTAAGTGTTCTGCTATATATGTATAACCTGGAGAGGCGGAGCAGATTAGAGATTAACCCCGCCTTTCCTCGTATGTTAATACTCGGCGTCCCGCATGAGCGCGATGTAACTGTGGATAATGCAAGGGGTTCAGCGGATATTTTTGATCAGCATAGTTTTTTGTTCCGCATTTATTCGTCAATTTTTAGTTCAATGAAAAGTTTTTGATTTTAGAATTTAAATTATGCAAATCAGCCTTATCTAGACTTGCGTTTCTTTATTTTTTCCCAAATTTTTGTCGAAGCAATTGTGTCGTACGCAGTCTTACAGTTTATTCAGTATAATCGTACGAGATTTCCGGAAAAGTTTCAGCATCATTTTTTAAGTAGCCTTTTCACCAAGCTTATCTGTAAAGTATGCAAACAATTCCACAGTTTTTTGAAACCACTTTGTTAATTAAACTATAGTTGCATTTGTTTGTGTCAATAAAATTGATTTTTAAATTAGCATTAAGGCGTTTTTTCTTTCTAATACAGATTATTTTCCTATTCGGTTGTTAAAGTTTT